TTAAAATATATATAAATATAAATCATTAGCTTTACCAACACTTCCAGTTTGCATGAGAAAGGGATTTTGCAAATTATTTTCTACCAAATAAATCAGCTTAATTAATACTAAAAGCCAGAAAATTTTATTTTTAAGGCAATGAATGAATAATACATAAAGTCTGTATACTATTTACTTTCAAACAATTATCCTATTATTTTAGTTCTAGAGTCCCAAAAAAAGCAAGTGGGGAATTTACCCCTTCATTTGGAGAGTAAGTTTTTCCATGTTGTGGAGTTGAAGACTGAGTTCATGGTAGTCAGTGGGGGAGGAGTAGAGACCCGGATGAATGTCGCTATAGTCACTGCCTCCACTCAAAGAAGAAACAGCACCCAGCTGAATGAGCGGCCAGAGATGTGAGCCGAGAAAAAGAGATACAATTCATATGGCCAGTACCCAATTAGGAAGATTACAATAATGCAGCTAAAAGTTCCACTACATCCTGGTCATCAGCTACAAAGACGGGGCAATCAGTTATGATGAAAAGAAATTAGACTGAAAGTCAGATGACCTGGTGGTTCTGGTTCCTACTCTGTGGCTAAGAAGTACTATAACCTCAGGCAAGTAACATTTCTGGGGACCTCGGTTCCTCAACAATGAAAGGAGGGGACTGGATGCAATGATTTTTAAGATGCGTTTTCAGATATTTACCTTGGACTATGAAAGCAGCTATAATCCTTAAATCCCCCGGAACTTCTATCTTCAAGAATTGCAAGAAAATTGTGTTTTAAGAAAATCACTTTTATAACTCTTGTAAGAAAATTAAATCTTACTAAACTGAGTAAACTGGGCAACAATCATGAAATTAAGAAAAAAGAAAAAAATTTTAATAGGTAACAGAATGAAATAAATAAAAACAATTGGAGGAAGAGCAATAAACCTACAATTTATTCCTGTCCTATAAGTGGAAATAATTTCCAAGAAGTATTCCACTGCCCCTTTAAAAGAGAATAAAAACAAAACAAAGGAATGCCTATACTGGGGGAAAGTATCATAGAGTTTTATATTATTCTTTTGTAGTATGTTTGACAGGGTCAGCTTTTGAGTCTAAAATACTTGTTTTCAAATTTTCAAGCCCTGATTAAGAACAGAATTGAGTAAGTTCTAATCAAAGAGATTCTTCGATTAAAGAGATCCTTTTCCAATTTGTATGTCTGTCAAGGCATTACACTGGACACTTTAGCTTACAATTTTGTCAATTATACTTCAGTAAAGCTGGGGGATGGGAGGAGAGTCTGAAAAAGAAGCCAAGGAGGTGAGCTTAGTGAAAATCTGTGACAGAGAGCCTGCTAGAGCAGTCCAGAAGAACAGCAGGCCCACAGGCAAATCTGCTCATATAGACCCAGGAACCAAACTTAAAAGGACAAAGAGACATTTCTTCACTGCCTTGTGTGCGTCTTTTTGGATGCTGAGTTGCTTTCAGTACTTACCACTGGCTACAAACTCTAATGTGGTTAAATTATTCTGGATACTGTGGTTAAGTAATTGCTGTGGTCTTGGGAGCTAGCTGCCTTTTTTTTTTTTTTTAATTACTTCTGGTTTTCTGAACGTTTTCTACCTCAGGTAATCGACATTACTTTGGAATGGACCACTGTGACTACTGCTTGGTATTAGAAGGCCCTGGGTGACTTTCTGTCCCCAAAAGAAAGTTTCCTTTTTCTCGTCAAACCACTTATTTGATTATACTTTTATAGGCTAGGTATTACTATAATACCCAGGAATTTCTCCTAACTGGAATTAGAGTGAATAGTAGGCTAGAGCCCGAGCATACACTCCAGTCAGCTAACCTGGCACTAGACAGCACATGCAAACACAGACATCATACTGTTTATGTCATTCTTACCCAATATTTGTTGAGACTGATTTACCCTCTGTCCAAACGGGGGAAAAAAAAGTACAGAGGTTTGCCCATGAGCAGTCATTTAAGGCAATCAGACAGTCATAAACACATGCAAATTCTCCTTACTCTTCCATTTTTAATACCACTAACCTTTATAAATGTATGATTTTATCTACCTGGTTTCCAACAGAAGAAATGAATTCAATTAGCAATGGCTTGGAGAAAGCCAAAGTGACAAATAAATTAAAATAATCAAACAGCTAAGACAAGTTTTTCTAGATATGATCTTTTATTTTCATTGCTTGCTTGATTTTCAATATCCATGCTCTTGTCCTTTACTTTAGTATATATTCACATATAACTAAAATGAACTTCTGAGAATTATTTTTAGGATTTTATAAACTTCCATGAAGTAAGTATAAATATCTTAAGATAAATGGGCTTCTCTTTAAGCTCAGTGGTAAAGAGCTAATGTAGGAGACGTGGGTTTGATCTCTAGGTTGAGAAGATCCCCTGGAGAGGGAAATGGCAACCCATTCCAGTATTCTTGCCTGGGAAATTCCATGGACAGAGGAGCCTGGTGGGCTACAGTCTCAGGCATTGTGAAGGGTCAGACACAACTTAGCAACTAAACAACAACCTCTTAAGAAACAATAAAAGCAAAGATTATGATATTATCATTATGATGTGAAATTTACAATACTGATGGGGAAAAAAGATATACAAATACATAATTTGTTTAAAGAAAGATAAAAGTTAATACAGCCTAAAACTTTGAAAAACATTTAAATAACCTACAAGTATTCATTACTGTAGGTATTAATACCCAATCAACAAGTATTTACTGAGTGCCTTGAATGTGACAGGCACTGTTCTACTTGCTTAGGATACATCGATAAACAAAACAGGTTAAAAAAAATGAGTAGAGTTTGCATTCCAATGAGGAAAGGAGACAACAAACAATATACATGATAAATTACTAAGTAAATGGCTTACATGATAAAAAGATGACAAAGGAAAAAAGAAAGCATAGAGCAGAATGAGGAAATGGGACATGTGGGAAGCAGAAGGGAGACAGTAAATATCAAAATGGACATTTATCAGTTTTTGACATGTGAAAGAAATGGCTTTTAAGAAATAGGAAAGAGAAAAAAATCAGAAAACTAGGTAAAAACCAAACACTCACCTAGGAAAGCTCCTCTAGAGTTATCAGAGCATGAGACAGAATTATGCCTCTGAGGAAGTTTATGAAAATGGCCTCATATCTATATGAATTTCTTCTAACAATTCACAGAACAATTTCTCTCACACATCCTGCATTCCGAAGAAGTAAACAGCCCTGTATTCAAACTCTAATGCACAACAGCATAAAGTAACAGATTATAAGCACTCCTTATTTGAGGACAAAAAAGAGAATGAATGAGAAGTATACCAATCTCTGCATGTTAGGTCAGGGAAGGACCTAAAAGATTGAGTACATCTTTTTTAAAGAGAGGGAACATAAAGGTCAGAGAGGTTAAATAACCATCTCAGGGTCACAAATCACTTACAGGTTATTTCGTCCAAAATTCTTTTTCTGCAAAACCATGTTAAATGTATAAAAACTGTAGCAAATTAGACAACTTAACCTTCAATGCTCATTTACCAAAGATTATGATTAACAAAAATAATATAAAGGAAATTTAGTTCAATTACTTTATAAAACTAATTTTTTGAAGCTGTTAGAGAGATACGTAATCACTTCAAGCAAGTTATTTTTAGTCCCTTAGGCTCTCGAAACATTAAATCACACAAGGATTTAACTATCTTATTATTGCCAAAATTTAACAGTAAAAATGAACTTTCTGTAAGATTGGATATAGACACAGCATAGTAACAAATTTCACCCAAATTTTCAAGCATATTTCATGGACTGGGTATCAGAGACTCAAGGAAGTTAAAGAGATTTTGCCTATGGCATTAGCCATAGTAAACTTGAGAATTACATGCTCTAAGATGGTCACTTAAAGATAAGAGAATTTTGCACTATACAGATATTAAAATAACTAGCAAAATGTGGCATACTATTTCCAGCATCTACCAAATTGATGTTGCCCAGAAAAATAGTAATCTGTAGTTAAATAAATTTAGGAAATAACTTGTATTTTACTCTCCTCTAGATCTGCAATGCATGTTCCTATTTTAGACACTCTGAAGAGCTCTGGAGGAAAGAAACTTTTGGTTTTTAATGTATTTACCGTGTATGTAATCATTTTTCTAAGCCCATTTAGTAATAAAGCATTGAAAATCAATTTAGGCAACACTGACATAAGCAGAAAGAGTCTAATATGACTTAAGAACTTTAGTGATGGGATCCAAATATGCTGCAGGCTAAGGTGCTAGAACTTCAAGGCTGCTCAGTTTTAAACAAGGAAGTGATGGTGCTCATAATAACAAGTAGTTGGTTTGCTTGATTTAATCCCTCATTCGATAGAGGCTCATTGCAGTTCTCTACGTTAAGCACTGTGTGGTTCACAACTGTGGTGCTGGAGAAGGCTCCTGAGAGTCCCTTGGACAGCAAGGATTTCAAACCAGTCAATCCTAAAGGAAATTGACCCTGAATATTCATTGGAAGGATTGTTGCTGAAGCTCCAATACTTTGGTCACCTAAGGCGAAGAGCCAACTGACTAGAAAAGACACTGATGCTGGGAGAGACCCAGCAAAAGGAGAACAGGCCAGCAGAGGATGAGGCGGTTAGACAGAATCACCAACTCAGTGGACGACAGAGGAGCCTGGTGTGCTGCAGTCCATGAGGTCACAAAGATGAGGACATGGCTTAGCAACTGAACAACAACAACGTCAGGCACTGAGATTTACACCAGCTGAGAATTTGTAAAGTTACCACAAGGTAAGGATTTCTCTGCAGCTATGGTAAGGAGCCACCAGAATCAGATTAAAACTCATCAGATCACCTAACAGTGGCAGGCCCTCACTTCTGAAAGTCAATTAGGAATAGACTCAACTTGCCTCTAATGTGCCAACCAAGGCATACCAGTCTCATCTGAGCAACCTCTTCTACAGATGACGTCAGCCTCCAGAACAACACTGATCCCTGAACTCCTCGTGTCCCCAAAACTCTACCTAAGGTCAGCCATCTTCCCTGCTGCGAGACTGTGCTGGACCAGCATATATACCTCTCCTCTGCGGTCATAAAAATAAATCTAGTTTTCTCTATTTCAGATACTGAATTTGAACAATGGTCTCATAACACTACCACACAGTATTGAGAAAGACTGCTTTCATGACCATGTCAGCCTAACCCCTTATGCTTTCTTTGCTCCCAGTTTTTATTTGGAAAGATTTCAAGTCAACAGGAAAACTGAAATGAACACCTAATGGACACCTAAAAATCCTTCAGCTAGTATTATCACTGCTAACATGTTAGCACATTTGCTTTCTCACACATGGTTATACAAATGCACACAAAGGCACATTATACACTATACACATATGTACTTGAATCTATTTTTCTTTGAACAGTAAACATCTCCTGAGTGCTTTACCTGGGTCTAGCATGAATTATGCCATTTAAACCTCTTTAAGATGCAACAACCCCGTATCGCCATGCTGGCCCCTCCCCATCTTGGAGGGACATTTCACACAGTAAGTGAGGCGCCATTTGCTCACGTCCATACACTGGGCTTAGTTTTGCAATCAAGAACTAGATAAAATATCCAATCTACCTTTTACATAACAGGCTTTTCAAAAATATGACAAAAGTTTACTTAAAATTTTTTTCAGGTAAGTAGAATTTTTTTAAATAGTTTAATTGAGATTATTTTTATATCATAAAATTTACATATAAAGTGTACGATTCAATGATTTTTAGTAAATCTGGAGCGTTGTACTACCATGACCATAATTCAGTCTTAGAACATTTCCATCATTCCAAAAAGATGCCTCCTGCCTGATTACAGTTAATCCCCACTCCCATCCCTGGCCCCAGGCAATCACTAATCTACCCAAAGAAACCTCGCGCCCCCCTCTACTGTTCTTCAAGGTTACGGATGCCCTATTTCTTATCATTTAGGTCTCTAATTAAGGGGCATATCCTTGGAAAGACTTTTCCCAATTACCAGCACTTCTAATCCTCACTTGAATCAGAGCAATTAGGCATTTATGCAACTAATACACAGAGGTCCTGTCCAAGACGATTTCATTTGACTGAAAAGGTTCCAAAATTTTTAAATAAACAAAAGGAGTAAAAACCTCTAAGTTAAGTGTTTAACAAGTCATAAGCCAAATATCAGGTCCTAAACTCTAAGAGATCCTTGAGACAAAAGATTCACTAAAGAACACCTTGTGAGCCAGCAAGAGTTGAACCAACTATCAAGCTGCCTTTGTCTGGACTGTAATTCTCCATCTTATCCATAAGAACATCTTCTTGAAATTTTGTACTCTACTGCCATGGCATTACTCTACCAGGAAGGGAAATTATTTTTACTCCAGTATGAATTGTTAATTCATGTAGGTTCCCACTCATTACAGATCCCAGAATTTTTATTGAGATTGATGTCAAATTCACAAGGATGTAATGACTAGAAATCTCCCTTCCCCCTTCATATTTTTAAATGAAGCAAACTTGTGCCAAAATTATAACTTAATTACACTTCCTTAAATAGCATTCTAGAAAAACCACCTGGTAATAATTAATATCACTGTTGTAAATAATCTCACTCCTAATGTACTTTTATTTCCAGGATTTAATTTATTGCCCCAAACAATAGCTTCAGTCTCATATACTATAATATTGACTAAATAAATCTGTAAATTAAAAAATAGGGAAAACAGTACAAAATTGTTATATTACCAATTAAGCAACTCAGAAATTAATTTTGCAAATATTCATGACTGCCAACAGGAAAATACATAATATATTCCAGTTGCAGTGCATAATACATTCCATTTGCTCCCTCACAAAGGGCTTCAGTTTCAATCAGGAAGTGTACAAGACAATTGTCTTTCTTGAATATGTAAACTGGCCAATGATCAATCACTTTTGTTCTGACAAAATTAAGAAAAAGTTTATCTCTACTTTCCACAATTTTCCTCAAATCAAAATGAAACTTAGTATGCCTGGAAGAAACATATTTTAAGTTTATTTTCAAGAATATGGATGAAAAAGTGATAGAGAAAAATGTTAGGACAATTATGTATAACAATTCTAGTGAGAATAAATATATAGGATATAATAAATGATCTTTTGGCTTCACTTTAAAATTTTAGCATGTATAAATAAGACCCTTTTATAGATATTTACACACATTATCAGTGAAAGTTGTTATTCTTTAAGTAAATAACATTATGAAAATCTCAGTCCATATTTCTAGTAGCTTACAACAAATAATGTGCAGTCTTCTAAATGTGCTAAAAATATTAATGAAAACGTACATCATGTACCAACTACCAGCCAATATATTATTAAGTATCTTCACAAGGAGTAGTTCCATAGACGCAAATAAAAATAGTAAGGCTTCTCTGATGGCTCAGAAGGTAAAGAATCTGCCTGCAATGCAGGAGACCTGGGTTCAGTCCCTGGGTTGGAAAGATCCCCTGGAGGAGGTTATGGCAACCCACTCCAGTACTCCTGCCTGGAGAATTCTATGGACAGAGGTACCCAGCAGGTTACAGTCACGGGGTCGCAAAAAGTCAGACACAACTGAGCGACTAACATACACACACACAATAACAATATCAATAAAATACAACTTAACACCTAGGGTTCGAACCATCATAGAATCCTACAACTTACAAATTTCTTTGCTTTGTATATAAAAACATTTGAAATCTGACTCTGCCTTTTGTTCTGGTCTTACTTCCAGCCATGCATTCTTTGTTCCCATGTGACATATCAAAACAATCTGAAGAGAGCTGACCATACAATGAGCTTCACATCTTCTGGCCTTGTAAGTTATGTTTTCTCTGGCCTCTGATTCTTCTTTCATTAAAATAATTATTCCAAAATGTAGTTCAAGGGGTACCATCCTTGGAAAGTTCTCCCTAATCCCCACATAATTTAGATGCTCCTCTGTGGTATATTGCATCGACAGCCTTATCTTTACCACACACTATATCCATTCCCTTTGCTAAGAAACTTCAAGTACTTTTATACTATAACTCTGAGCTCAATCACGTTGTATGCTTTGGCCAATAGGATGTTAGCCGCCAGAGGTTAAGAAGCATTAAACATTTCAAGTTGTGCTCTTATTCTCTGCCAGTGCCATGAACATGTGCCCAGGCCAGTTAGCATGCTGGCAGACTAGACACACGGGGAGCAGAGCTGAGTCAGTCCAGGTCTCCGAGTAGAGGCACCTGAGATCAGTCAGATGGCAGGACGCAGTCAAGACTGGGGAAGCTGCATAATCTACGGTCCCAGACACGTAAACATGTGTGCTGAGGTTTCACTACTGACGTTCTATGGCTTTTTGTCATGCAGCACTACTGTGGCAGTAAATAACAGGTCCACCCTCCTAAATGTTGCCACAGCACTTATTATAACACATGTTACATCACATGTTCATAGTGACTCACTTACCTTTCTCCTCTAGACTTTAGAGGAGAGTGAGTCTTATTTAAATCTGTATTCTCAGTACCTAACAAAATGCTGGATGCATGTGGACATGAAATACTTGTTTGGGAAAATATGGGGGGGAAAGGCAGAGTAAAAGGAGGGAAGAGGGGGTAAGAAGGAGAAAGAAATAATCTAAAGGACTATTGTGTTGAAGAGGAAAAGTTTCTTATGGAAAAGCATAGAGGTGATGAAGAATGACAGCTCTTGAGATGGGGTTTACCTCCCATCTGATTACACTGGTATCTCAGGTTCCCAAGAATCCTTTTTTCTATTCTCCACACTAAACACTGGTCAGTTCAGTTGAGTTCAGTCACTCAGTCATGCCCACCTCTTTGTGTCCCTGTGGACTGCAGCACGCCAGGCTTCCCTGTCCATCACCAACTCCCAAAGATTACTCAAACTCATGTCCATAGCATTGGTGATGCCATCCAACCATCTCATCCTCTGTTGTCCCCTTCTCCCCCTGCCTTCAATCATTCCCAGCATCAGGGTCTTTTCAATCAAATGAGTCAGTTCTTCACATCAGGTGGCCAAAGTATTGGAGTTTCAGCTTGAGCATTAGTCCTTCCAATGAATATTCAGGACTGATCTCCTTTAGGATGGACCGGTTGGATCTCCTTGCTGTCCAAGGGACTCTCAAGAGTCTTCTCCAACACCACAGTTCAAAATCATCACTTCTTTGGCACTCAACTTTCTTTATAGTCCAATTCTCACATCCATACATGACCACTGGGAAAAAACAAAGCTTTGACTGAAAGACCTTTGTTGGCAAAGTAATGGCTCTGGTTTTTGATATGTTGTCTAGGTTGGTCATAACTTTTCTTCCAAGGAGCAAGCATCTTTTAATTTCATGGCTGTAGTTACCATCTGCAGTGATTCTGTAGCCCAAGCGAATAAAGTCTGTCTCTGCTTCCATTGTTTCCCCATCTATTGCCACGAAGTCATAGGACCAGATGCCATGATCTCAGTTTTCTGAATGTTGAGTTTTAAGCCAACTTTTTCACTCTTCTCTTTCACTTTCATCAAGAGGCTCTTTAGTTCTTCTTCACTGGTAGAGCAGACCAAAACTGGAAGGCACATAGGTAGCTGCCTCCTAGATGAGATGAAATAACTACAATTCATGTGACTTGTGAATATGGTGTTGGCAGGAAAAAGCCAATAACTGTAGTATTCTGGCCAACAGCACAGGTAGTTATACATGTGGAGTAGAAGATACCAGGGCAGAGAATCAAAGGGTGTATGTTTGAAATCTTAATGTTCTCACATGTAGATGTAGTAGGCAGAACTGCAAAGATGCCAAAGGAAAAGGGCCCCAATTTTTCATTTTCTCTGTAAACCCACATACTACTTCTTCCACACCTTGTCTCTACCTGGAAGGCTTGATTGTACTCCCTCAATTTGCCACCACTTTTTATCACCTGTTTAATACCACTGTATCCTTTAAGGTCTTGAGCAAATGTTTCCCATTGTTTGAAATTATCTCTAACACCTATCCAAAGAACAATTATACTCTTTGTATCTATA